CACACCTTCTTCTCCTTGCTCCGAATTACATATATTGAAATACTTGAAAATCAAAGGTTAAAATTACATGGCATCCACTTTTTAGGAGAGAAACAGCTGCTGAGAATTACAAAAGCACACTATCAGTCTGTACTAGAAGGGCATTGCATACTAGATTGGGTAGCCTCCCTGTGTTTTCTTGTATCTAGAGGTGCTCTTACACACAACTGAATGGCTTTCCAACCATCAAATCACAGTGATTTATTTTTCCCTCAACAACTGACCACTACCAGTAAATCACCCGTGCAGCCAATTAGATATTTACATGCAAAGCCCATTACCAGCAATGCAAACCATCAAAAGTGAGGGGGAGGTTGGGGGAGTGGTATGGTGTAAATCAAAACGGAGCTGCTCTGTATATAAATTCAAGAGCTCACATGAAAGGTCCCCTGTTAGGTCCCCAATTTGCACAAGCAACAGCTCCAACACATGTTATAGGCTCCATACCAAATGGATTATGACTGACTCCAACATGTTCCTTTTTCTGCTACTGTCAGTTTTCTTGGGCACTTAGCAATCAAACCAGCATTCTTCTAACAAAACAAAAATTTAGATCTAACATTTTATGCTTTGCTGAAAGTGGAGCCATGTGCACTCTGGGCTGTTGTCAGCCTGCACCAATCCTCCTTCCACTTGTCTTTACCCCTCTCCACCAAAAACACTTTACCAGAAAGCTGCTCTGGATTGCAGCTGGTTCTCATAGATTATTATAATCTATGAATAAATTGGCAGGTGTCCTCTTGTCAGACTCCTTAGGCATTTATATCATTCATTTCAAACCACTTCCATTCAGCCATGAACCAGTTTCTAGACCCAAGGTGCTGTGTCCATTTCTCATATTTATAGGCGCAAAGCATTGAGTGAACAACAAGCATACACCAATTGCTCTTTAGTAACATGACATATGCCATTGTTATCGTGCAAATAGGTGGTTCACAGTGTTCATTCCAGAGTTGAGAGTGTTGGGTTATGAGGAGAAATTGAGTAGACTGGGACTAAACTCATTGGAATGTAGAAAAATGAGAGGAGATCTTATAGAAACATATAAAATTCTGAAGGGCATAGATAAGATAGAAACAGGGAGCTTGTTTCCACTGGCCGGTGAAACAAGAACTATGTTGCATTGCCTCAAAATAAGGAACTGCAGATTTAGAACTCCGTTGAGGAGGAATTTCTTCACCCAAAGGACTGTGATTCTGTGGAGTTCCCTATCCAGTTAAGAAGTAGCTATCTCATTCAATGTTTTTAAGGCAAAGAGAGACAAATTTTTGAAGAGTAAAGAATTAAGGGTTATGGTGAGTGGACGGGCATGTAAAGCTGAGTCCATGAACAGATCAGCCATGATCTTATTGAAAGACAGAGCAGGCTTGGGAGGTCAGATGGGCTACTACTGCTTCTATTTCTTATGTTCTTATGTTCTAAGTTTTCTTACTAAGTCATGAAAATTATTAAACAATTATTTCTATTCTGATTTAAGATCAGATTAGACAAAAATCTTGCTTCAAACCAATAATCTTAAACTCAATTATTTGCATATGTATAAACTATTCGGTTTTTTGCCACGTAACTGATATTGAAATGTTATTGTTAGATCAAGTTTAGAAACCATTGATACACACCTCGGTCATCAATCCCAACTGAGATAAAATTGAGCCAAAAGGATTGAAAGTGCCTGGATGAATTACGCTGTTCTTATTACCCTCAAGTTTTGCTTCTCACTGATTCTCACTACAGCAATGTAACTATTCTTCTACACAAACAGGATCATAGTGAAGCAGAACTATATGGAGTACCAGCCAATTCTCTGGATCCGTCAATCTGTTGGAAAGATATCTGCTGGCTTCAGTCATTAACTCGTCTGCCTATAATTATTAAGGGCATTCTAACCAAGGAAGATGCAGAACTGGCAGTGGAACATGGTGTCCAAGGTATCATAGTGTCAAACCATGGAGGCAGGCAGCTTGATGGAGGCCCAGCTACGGTCAGTCCATTTATCTCTCTCACAAACACTTTATCCTACTTTTTTTCTTTTATCCATGACTAAAATTTCACCTTGACGCAGGGTTACAGTGATTACATAGACAAACATAACTGCCAATTTGCACAGATGTCCCTGCAAACAGCAAACATGATAAATGACTTGTTATTCTGCCACTAGTAGTGTTAGTTGAAGCAGTAAGTTTGGCCAGGATACAAATATAATTCACTATTCTTCTTCAAATAATATCATTTTTCATCAGACCATACATTAATTTCATATTTAATGCAAAGAATATTGAGTAAAAATATCTCCAAAACTTTGTCAGTAACAAACTGATGTGTCAGGCTATATTTAGTAAGATGATTGTGGTAGTTGGTAGTCAGATGTCTTAGCCAAGGCATCACTGCATACATTCCTTAGAGTTGTACCTTGGGCCTAACCACCTTAATCTGCTTCATCAATGACTTTCAGCACATCATAGGGTCAGAAGTGGGGACTCTTGCTGGTGATTACACAGTATCAGTCCCATTCACAGCAAAATAATCCATGCCCACATGCAAAAAGACCTGGACAATAATCACGCTTGTGTTGATGAATGGCAAATATCATTTCTATCATTTAGGTGCCAGGAAATGTCTATTTACAATGAAAGGTTCTAAAATTTCATCTATGACATCCAAAAGCATTATCATCACTGAATCCCTAAGCATCAATGTACTGAGATTTACCATTGACCACAAACTTAAGTAGGCCAGGCACATAACTACTGTTACAACAAGAAAAGATTGCAGAAATGTAACTCAACTCCTGATTCCCTAAACAAAGTCCAGCATCTAATCTACATTCATTGGAATATTTTCCATGTTCCTGAATTAATGCAGTTGCAACAATGCTGAAGAAACTTGTGGCCAGCCATTACAAAGCACACCATTTGATTGGCATCCCAACCAACTCTTTAAACATTCAGCCCTTCCATTACTGGCACAGAGTAGCTTCAGTGTGTACCATCTACAAGATACACTGCAGCAACATACAGAGGCTTCATTGATTGCATTTTCCAAATCCACAACCTCTGCCACTTAGGTAGATACATGGGAAGACCACTATTTGCAACTTGTCCTCCAAGTCATCCAACATTCTGACTTGGAGCTATACCATCGTTACTTTGCTGCTGTTGAGTCAAAATCCTAGAAATCCTTCATTGAAAGTACAGTAGATGTTTCCATGCCATGTTGATTACAACAGTTCAAGAAGGCAGCTCACTTATCCTTTCATCCCATGAATAAATAATTAAAAAGAAATGGAATTTTCTCAAATGATTCTATGCACTGAACTCCTTGTTACAGTGATGCACTGCAAGGAATTCCTTAAGGTAAAATTGGCTATCAGTGGGAAATTTTTTAACCAAGATTTCCTAGGCCAAACAATGAAGATTTGTAATCCTTTCAAAAAAGACTGAATTTTTCATGATTGAGTTATGATTATATCGGCTGGAGGAGATAATGGAAGTATTCAAAACAACAAGAGATTTCACCTCATCATAATTAATTATCAGCAAATTTCTCTGTTAGGATCTCATAGTTATTGCTCTTACTTCTAAACGACATAATGAAAGACAGAGAATAATATCTGTTTAACATTTGCAGATAGATGCCCTATCAGAAATTGTGGATACAGTCCAAGGAAGAATTGAGGTTTATTTGGATGGTGGAATCCGTACAGGAAGTGATGTGCTCAAGGCTTTAGCTATTGGAGCCAAGTGTGTATTCATTGGTCGGCCTGTAGTTTGGGGTCTTGTCTACAAGGTAAATAATTGATGCTGTAGCCAATCTTCAACTTCTGTTTCCATTGCTCCTTGCCAGAGAGAAATGTTGGTAGTCTGATGGAAGTAAAGTGGATTTTAACAATGATGAATTAATAGGCTGGAGGAGAATTTTCCATTTCCTTAGCCAAAACCCTGTATAAATATCTAATTAAACTTATGGTTCAGTTATAAAAGAATAAATAGCATTACAAAATCCAACAGCATCATATTTTTAATTAATACTTTGTTTCCTCAGTGTACTCTATTCAATGACAGAAACTTGTATTTTAAAAAAAACTGCTTGCTTAAAATAAATTGAATAATGTTTAGCAACATGGTGAAGGCAGTGACAATGAGATAAGAATGAAATTTAATGCTAATTCTTCAAGGATTTTTATAAGATCGTAAAACAAATGAGTAGAAGTATGCATTCTGCCCATCAATTCTGCTCTGCCTTTCAATGAGATCAAAACAAAATTAAGGATAGCTAAGGATAGTATCAAATTAAAGAAAAAAACATAAATTATGGCAAAGATTAGTGGTAAATCAAAGGATAGGAGTTGGAATGGCATGTTGAGGTCATACAGGACTTTGGCAAGGCCTCTTCTGGAGTACTGTATGCAGTTCTGGTCACCCTGCTATAGAAAAGATTTTATCAAACTGGAGAGGGTTCAGAAAAGATTTACCACGATGTTGCTGGGATTGAAGGATTTCAGTAATACAGAGAGGCTGGATAGGCTGGTTATTTTTCACTGGATTGTAGGAGGTTGAGAGGTGACCTTATTGAGGTTTATAAGATTATGAGGGGCATAGATGAGGGGCATAGATAAGGTGAATGACAAGGCTCTTTTCAAAACTAGGGGGCATATTTTTAAGGTGAGAGGAGAAAGATTCAAAAAGGACATGAGAGGCAACTTTTTTTACACAGAGAGTGGTTCGTATGTGGAATAAACTGCAAGAGAAAGTGGTGAATGCAGGTACAGTTATGTTTAAAAGGAATTTGGATAAGTTTATGAAAAGGAAAGCTTTGTAGGGATATGGGCGAAATGTAGGCAGGTGAGACTAAATCAGTTTGGGAACATGGTCGGCATGGACTGGTTGGACCGAAGGTTCTGTTTCCATGCTGTATAACTCTATGAATCTATAACTGTGCCAACCTCGATAATAACAAACTGAGGAGCTGAAGTAATCTCTTGAAGCTGAAGGCATACACTGCAGTAATGAATGAATGCTTTGTCAATCCCAGGTATGCTTCAGGATTTTGGCAGGTTGTTGTGTTATTTTGCAACATAAAAAATTTTGAATTCTTACATTTCTACTGAATTTATCTTGTTGCTTGTTTTGACCAGCACTGGCATTATAAGGAGTGAGGATTACTTGGGTGACACTGATACTGTACTGTTCAACATCAGGATTTCTTTAAATAATTAATACAGGCAAATAGTACAGCTTCTACGCATTAAATCTTTTGTTGTACACCCAACATTATTTACTTACACAACTGGGAGATTTAATACTCTGGAATTAAAGGATTTTTGATTGAAATCAATTTGAAAATACAAATGTACTATTTTACTTTTAGGGGGAAGAGGGAGTCAAAGAAATTTTGCAGATTTTGAATGATGAATTTCGTTTATCAATGGCTTTGGCTGGTAAGTGCTTTCAGTCTTTGCTGATTGCAGCACATTATGGAACATGGCTTGAAATACAGCTTAGGCTGAAGAATACATCACTTTTGTTGTCTTGAGTAACTGTTAAAGATAAATAGGGCATATAACCTTAGTGTATCCAATCCTATAAGGACTCTTGTGGCACTGTCGTATTGTCTGCATTTATGGGCTAGTTAGAAGGTCTGGGTTCAAGTTCTGCCTGTCCTGGAGGTGTACCTTAAGATGTCCAAATAAGTTGATTTAAAATATTATTATCTAATACTATAAATATCCTCCCATCCTCATAAAGATGTGGATTTGGCTGGTGTTTCTACTGAGTTAGAAACTCAATTCCTACCCCAAAGACTTGAGTACATGATGTAGTCCTGAGATTCAATGAACTATAGAATGATTGCTGTACTATCTTTCAGATAAGATATGGAAGATCCTGAGGCACTCGCTTGACACACATTCAAACTCATCACTGTAGTCTAGAGACTCCGAACCAAGCTATTAATAATTATATACATAGTGATTCAGTTTGTCTGATTTGGTGCATTTTCTCTTCCTGTGGAGTTGTACCATACCTATAATGAATCTAGAGAGTTGAGGCACAGAACCAAGGCTCTGATTATGCACAGGGATAATCCTAGATTTTAACAAGTTAAAATCCTGCAGTTTACCAGTGCACAGAACTGGGAGGTTTTTTCCAATTTTGCCCAGGCAGGAGCATGCTACATGCAAGCATAAATGAAATTCTGACCCATTATGAGGTCAGTGCATTCAAACATATGAAGATTATCTGCATTGCAAGGTCATTGCCCTGTATAGAAGGATGTCTTTTATACATTACTAAAGTTGAATTAGGACTGGATTACACTCTGGGGAGTTCAAGTAAAAAGTGTACCCGACTTTAGTATATATGCATCAGTTAGCATTCATTCACATGGTGTTTTTATGGATGTGATGTAATATTACTGTACAGTGTAATTTCAATTAATTCTTCACCAGTGTGAAATATATTTACTGTAAAATACTCTTGTGGTGAGTCCAAACCTAGGGACTAATAAATACAGATTTGCCAATAAAAATAAAATTCAGGAGAAACTCCTTCATTCAGAGAGTGGTGAGAGTGTGGAACTTACGGAGTAGTTGAGGAGAATAGTAAAGATGTAATTAAGGCTATGTTCCATAAGTCCATGAGAAAGGAATAGAAGGATATATTGACAGGGTTAGATTAAGTAAGGTGACAGTTGCTCTTCTGGAGGATTAAGACAAGAATGGATCAGTTGGATCTAATCACACCTTCCTACACTTATCAATTCTACTCAAATGAAATGAGGGCTCTCCTGGCATCTTGGACAAATTTTATAAGTTGGCGAGCCTGTGTCCTATTCCTCTTAAACATTAGTTGTCCTGGATATGGCCAGATGTCAGAACGTGGACCTGATATGCTGGTTGAGTCAGAGGGGGAAGAGTCCCTTTGCCCTTTGCCATCTTATGGCATATAGCTTCTGCAATATGGAAGCTGGTTCGAGTTATAACTTCACCATACTGACACATCATTTTCATGTGTGTCGGGTGTTGTAGTACACTTTCCTACTTTCCTCATTATCGTCAAGCTAGGGGACAAACCCCAGTTTAATGTTCAAAGGAGAAATACATTGAGTTGTGAGTTCAAAGATTGCATTGAAATATAACCTTGTTGCTAGTGATGGCCCCACACATCCTCATGAATGGCCTACATGAATCTGCTACATCTGTATTGGATTTATCCTATTTAGCACAGCGTTGTGTCACCCAAGACAATTCTGCAGGTCCTCAATATGAAGATGCAAGTCATACAAACATACAAAATATGAAAAGAAGTAGGTCATTTGGCCCTTGAAGCCTGCTTCACCATTTGATAAGATCTGTTTAAGTTCCAAATTCCATAATTCTGTTTACCCCGGATAAGCTTTGATTCCCTTGCTTAACAGGATTTATCTATCTCTACCTAAAAAATAACAGCACCTCCACAACATAAAAAATATCCCACTTCCACTGTTTTCTAAGGCATGGAGTTTCAAAGTCATACAAACTTCAGAGAAAATTTTTTTCCCATCTTGGTGCTAAGAGGATGAGCCGCAATAGTTAAAGCAGTGCTCTCTAGTTCTGGACTAACACACACACCCATCTTGTCAAGACCATTCAGGATCTTATAAACTTAAATCAAGCAACTCTCACTCTTCCAAATTCCAATGAATAAAAGGCCAGCCTGTCCAACCTGTTAAGAAAACCCACACACTCTGGATGTTAATTTAGTAAACTTCCTCTGGACCACCTTCAATGTATTTATATCCTTCTTTAAATAGGGAGGCCAAAATTGCACTCAATATTCAATATGCCAATGTCCTCTATAGCTGAAGCATAACATCCTTATTTTTACAAAAACTGAAAGAACTGTGGAAGCTGCAAATCAGAAACAAAAACAGAAATTGCTGGAAAAGCTGGCAACACCTGTGGAGAGAAATCAGAGTTAACATTTTGGGTCAGTGACCCTTCCTCAGAGAAAAGGTCATTCAACCTGAAACGTTAACTCTAATCCCTATTTTTATGTTCAATTCATCAAGTGACAAAGAACAGTATTCCATTCAGCCTCCTTGATTATGCACTGTACCAGCATACTAAATTCTTACAGCTCCTGCACCAGAACACTTAGACCCCTTTGCACTTGGAATTCTGCAGTTGTTCTCCATTTAAGTAACACTCCACTTGTTCATTATCCCTGCAAAAATGAGCAATTTCACATTTTCCCACATTATATTCCATCGGAGCCAGATTTTGCCCACGCACAAACAACTATATCCTCTGCAAATTCCTAAGATTTTCTTCATAATATACCTCCCTACCTATCTTTGTGTCATCTGCCATGTCTACACTGCCCTCGTATAAATCCTTGATGTTAATTATAAAAAGTTGTGGGCATAAGGACTATGTGGTGGCAACTCCATCAAATACTGTCATGGACTAATGCTTCTACAATAGGTACTGTAGTGAGGACAAGGTGAAGTATGCTTTTGCCTCATGTTCATTCACTCACCAATTGCTGTAGGGTCAGTCTGCCAGATATGGCCCTTAGGACTCGGTCAGCTTGTTCATTGATGGTGCTACCAAGCCATTGTTGGTGGCGGACATCGAATGTCTTGTACCAGAGTGCATTCTGTGTCCATAATGTCGACCTCCGCATAGTGAGCAACATGAAATACACAATTCATCAGCTGAGTAGAGTGGTAGTTAGCTATCATTAAGCAGTTTCCTTGACTGTGTTTGAGTTATTGCCATAAGACTTTTGGAGTTAATGCTGAGGACTTTCAGGGCCGCTCCCTCCTGATTTAAACGATTGTCCTGCCATATCTGTGACAGAATCTAGCCAGAGATAGTGACTGAGGAGTCCAAACCTTTGTGTGAGAAATACGTTTCAGTGAATGTTACTTAGTCAGGCCGTTGCTTGACTACTTTGTTAGTTCTGTCAATCTTAGCAGATGTCCGAGATGTTGATGAGGTGGCATTTACAGGTTGATTCCGATGCCTAGGTTAATGCTAAGTGGTTAGTGCAATTTTATTTTTGTTAAACTATCTTGTAGCATTTTGATACATTTGAGCAGCTTGTTAGGTCTTTTCAGAAGGTTCTTAGAAAGTGAGGCACATTGCCTGGATGCATTTTTAGGCAAATTTGGTAACTTCACGATTTCCATTAACTATACTAGCTTTATCCCCTCTTATTTAATTAACTGAAATTAAATTCCCCAGTGTTCTGATAGGATTTGAATTGATAGCTGTGTAAACTTTAATCCAGTCTTCTAGATTACTAGTCCAATATAATAAACTCAAACTATCATTCCAGATTGCATTCAGTAGATGATCATAGAATCATAGAGCTGTACAACGTGGACCATTTGCTCCAACTCGTCCATGCTGACCAGATGTCTTAAATTAATCTTGTCCCATTTGCCAGCATTTGGTCCAAATCCTTCCTATTCATATACCCATCCTGATGACTTTTAAATGTTGTAATTATACCAGCCTCCACCACTTCCTCTGGAAGCTCATTCCATGCATCATCCTCTGTGTGATAAACTTGCCCCTTAGGTCCCTTTTAAATCTTTCCCTTCTCACCTTAAACCTATGCTCTCTAGTTTTGGACTCCCCCACCCTGGGGAAAAGACCTTAGTTATTCACCCCATCCATACCCCTCGTGATTTTCTAAATTTCAATATGGTCACCCCTCAGCCTCTGATGCTCCAGGGAAAATAGCCCCAGCCTATTAGCCTCTCCCCATAACTCAAACCCTCCAAACCTGACAACATCCTTGTAAATTTTTTCTGAACCCTTTCACATCTCACGACATCCTTCCTATAGCAGGGGGACCAGAATTGAATGCAATATTTCAAAAGTGGCCTAACCAATATCCTGTATGGTCACAACATCACTAACCAGTATAGGTAAGCGTACCAAACGTCTTTTTCACTATCCTGTTTACCTGCAACTCTACTTTCAAAGAATGACGAAGCTGCACTCCAAGGTCTCTCTGTTCAGCAACACTCCCCAGGACTTTACTATTATGTGTATAAGTTCAGCCCTGATTTGCCTTCCCAAAATGCAGCACCTCACATTTAGCTAAAGTAAACTCCATCTGCCACTCCTCATCCCATCATCCCATCTGATCAAGGTCCCGTTATACTAAATGGTAACCTTCTTCACTGTCCACTACACCTCCAATGTTGGTGTCATCTGCAAACTTACTAACCATACCTCCTGTATGTTCACATCCAAATCATTTATGTAAATGACGAAAAGCAGTGAACCTAGCTCTGATCCTTGTGGCACACTGCTGGTCACAGGCCTCCAGTCTGAAAAGCAACCATCCACCACCGCCCTCTGTCTTATACCTTCGAGACAGTTCTGTATCCACATGGCTAGTTCTCCCTCTATTCCACGTGATCTAACCTTGCTAACCTGTC